TACAGAATAAAACCAACTAAAGAAGCATCATTATTCTTAGAAACTGAAACTTTCATTACTTTTCCCTTATTTTTATCTTTGGATTCTTTTTTAGCAAGAAAGCTATTTTTGGGACTTGGACAAACTGTTGGTGTATGATTTATACCACCACATGTCCAACATTTAATCTCATTTTCTTTAGACTTCTCTTCTCTCTTTTTATGTTGTCTCTCACTTCCCTTGGATGAAGACTCTCTATTCCTAAACCTTGACTCTCCCCCTTTCTTAAGTGCATTTATCTTTTCAGACTTGATCAAATTTCTGAACTTCCTAGTGATGAGAGTAATTTCTTCATTAGACTCACTATTATACCTAACCTCAGACTTGGAGGACTCAGACTTAGAAGCTTTTAGGGCTAAGTCTTTAGGTTTTTGGGGATTTCCATAGTATTTTATCTTGTAGTTCTTAATATGACCTACAAACTTATCAACTTGCATGGTAGCGATGTTTTGAGTTGCTTGTAGTGTTTTAACTTTGATTTTGAACCATTCAAGCAAAGACCTAAGAATTTTCTTGTTAATCTTCTTATCTGCCACTTTCTTTCCTAGGTTTCAAAGGCCAAACACAATATAGTTGAGTCTCATGTAAAACTTAGAAAAGGTTTCACTTTCTTCTATATTAAGATTTTCAAATTAAAACACAAGCATCTCAATCTTTGAAGATCTGACTTCATCTATACCCTCTTGGGTAATTTGAAGTATGTCACATGCCTCCTTTGCTATTTTACAATGAGCAATACGAACTAACTCAGATTAGACAACATATTTGAATAAAGAAAACAAAGCTTTAGTGTTTCCTTCTTAAGTATTATTCTCAGCTTGAGTCCACTCGGACTCTTCCTTTTCAATGGTAAGACCATCCTTTGTGACTGTAGGTTTTTATAACCTTTTTCAATTGCAGCCCAAACATATTTACCTTGAGTCATAAGAAAAGCTGTCATGTTAGGTTTCCAAAAGGCATAATTATCACCATCAAACAAAGGAGTACGTTGAATAGATCCACCTTCCTTAAGAACAATATCCATATCAAATTTTGAAAACAAAAACAGAGATTTATTATTATTATTATTAAAAAAATTCCATAAGGAACAACTCAATGTGTAAAGGTTGGCTCTAATACCACTTGTTAGTTTGTACGCAACGGAATGGTTGTGGAAGATAATATGGATAATTTACCTAGAAGGATAGTGAATAGATATAACTTGTTCATTTATCTAATTTTTACTTATTTTAATTTTACTAAAATAAAACTAAATTTAAACCACAAAGCAAAAATAAAGTGCAAGTAAAGTAAATAAAGTTTGAGAGATGACACCAAGATTTTTAGCGAGGAAACCCCAATTGGTAGAATAGACTAATTGTTGCGGAAAAAATCTCGTTGGACTGTGCAGTCCAGAGAAAAAAAATTCACTATGTTTGAAGCAAAGTACACTGAATTTTGACTTAGGCTCACACCCTATTGTTCTACCAAAAACCAATCACTGACAATCCCTGACTTTGCGACTCCCTCATCCAACAGGTCACTTTGCGACTCCCTCATCCAACAGGTCTCAACCTCAGGCTTACTATCAAGAATGTTGGGTTTTTTTATTCCTATGATGCTTGCATTGTTGAACATTATGTCAAGCTTTTGGTGCTTGGCAACAGACTTGTCAATGGCATTTTTGACTTCCGTTTCATTTGTGACATCACAATGGACGAAGGAAACAAGAGTTGGACCTAAGTCCATGCAAATTGGATGGCCAAGATCATCTTAGATGTCACTTGTGCTTAGGGGTGACAAATGGGCAAGTTAGGTCGGGTTTGGGTTGGGTTGAAAATGGGCGGGTCACATAGGTCAAAACCCATATTCAACACATTCATAACGGGTTAAAAATTGGCGAGCTAAAAATGAGTAGGATTAACCCGTTATGATCCGTGGACCTATTAATTATTATTTAAAATTAATTTTAAATTTTTTTAATTATTTTTAAATTTTTAATTATTTTTTTAAAATTTTATTTATTTTTAAAATTTTTTTATTATTTAATTTTTTAATTTTTAAAATGTTTTTTAAAAATAATTTAATTATTTTTATTTTTTAATTTTTTTTTCCTGAAGGTTTAAAATTTTTTTATTATTTTTTATTTTAAAATTTTTTTAATTACTTAAAACTACTATTTAATTTTTTAAAATTTTTAATTATTTACTTTTTTAGAAGAAATTTATAAAGAGAGAAACTTATAGTGGGGATTGATAAAAGACAAATTTAGAGAGAGAGGATTGTGAATGAGAGAATTTTAGAGAGAGAAATGAGTTGAGTAAAATATAGAATAGATGTATGTTGTGTGTTTATTATGTGATAGGTAAAATATGGGTTGAATATGATTAACCATATTTAACCTGTCTTGACCCTCCATTTAAGTGGTTAAAAATTATCCAATTCATCTTGACCCTCAAATTAAATATGATTTACCTATAATTATTAAAAAGCAGACTAATATGGATGAATTGATGGTTTCTGACTTATTTTGCCACCCTTATTTATACTCATAACCAAGCTATGATATGATTTATATAAGCAAAATATTAATCAGATTTCTAAGCATCAAAACTAACTATAGTCCCAAATATAAACATGCTCAATATTTTAAACACACAAAATTTACCTATAAATTATAACCACTTTCATTTCAGTGGGATTGCCTCATTTATTTCATTTAGCAGGTGCATGACTATTATAAAGCACTCATCAATAAAGAAAGATTTTTACTATAATTGGGGCAGTTGTTTAAACAGAACCAAAGTCATTCATTTGGTGGAAGTACCTTTTCTACAGCACCAGAAAGCAATGGGCTGCTTTCACAAACAAAAACGGCTGCCAAAATTGTGGAAAAGTAAAGTCTGTGCAGAGGATAAAGCCCACTTCTTTCAGTAACGCCTTTTTCATCATAGGTACTGCTTTTATCCTACATCGAATTCGAATAAAAAAGAAAATGAGTATAAATAAATTGAATGTTAAGTGTTTTGACAGTTTATCTATTTATACTCCATTTATCATGTTGAGATTAAATTATTGAAAGTTAAAAAAAAAATTTAAGCAAATGCTCACCCTCTCATCGTTGTCTCTTATGACAAAAGTTTTCTTCTTAGAAATTAAATTTAGTCCAAGGGAGCACAATATTTTATAGAATTGGCATCCAAATAATAGATAAGATCAACGAAATAGACCATGCCGTTACAAATTTCAGTAAAATATCCCCTTTTGCTCTGTTTTTAAACTATTAAATCACAAAAATCTTGTAAAGTTGTAAACTTTCACCCTTAATTTCCTTTGTTGTAATCAATTTGGCACCATAAATCATAGAACAGTGCTAAATAACACTTCAACACCAAGTTATGCGTTGGCGGTTTTTTCTGTAGAATTTCTGTCTTTTCTTTTAGGAAACTAATTTACCAAATAATTTTGGGAAGAAAAAAATACTTAATATTCTATCAATAATGCATCAAATACATCATTTGGTTCAATCCGAGATCCAATTTGATGGATATGAAATCTTTCCTGTCGGATTCGACTTTATGTTTCTTTCCATGGATTGAATGGCTGTCTATTTTTGATTTGACCATCCCTTGAAAAAGACTATATTCTTTTCAATCCTTAAATTAATGAAAATAATATAATGAAACTTCGTCTTTTATGGCTTTTACTCCATTTCATATTGACTAATTGACCCAATTTTTTATATTTACTCTTTGATCCAATTTTCTTTTTCAAATTTTGTAATCGGAGAGATGGTAAATCTTCATAGCTCTTTTATTGCAATTTATTTAAGGGATAATTCTAAAAAAAATGATATTTTGGAAGTTAAAAGGACAAATAGATGAAGTCAAATTCTAATTTTTCAGATTAATAGAGTTTTCTCAGATGCTGACTTGGGCATGAAATTTTACTGTAGATTATCTTTTGATTCCCATACTGCCCATCTATATTATTGCTAAATGACCCAACTACCCAGCTCTTCTTCTGCTTCATTCTCGAAAATCAAATCTGCCAACATCAGTTTCTCCCAAGGTATGAAATCTTTTAGTGAACCTTTTTGAATTCTAGGTACTTGTTTGATCCTTTTTGTCATGATTAGGACTGCCAGATTGATCATCTTTTAGAAGAGAAACCGAGGTCTGAATATCATATTGAAGAGTTGCCAGTTCCTCCTCATTCTGGCTATTGCAATTGACATTTTGGTTCGTGGTGTCCACAGACTCCACTGGGCATTCATTGCTTGATGGTTGATAAATTTCCGTTTCTTTGAGATTTCACCACCTGCCAGTTCCCTATTCTGCCTCAGCTACAGAATGAACTGCTGAAGGTTGGTTGGGTTAAATACTTTGGCTAAAAACATGACCAATCTTTGTTTTGAATGTGTAGTACTTTGCTCTACATCAGTGAGTTCGTTCTGTATATCCTCTTGTTGCCGTTTCAGCTTCAGAAGTTTTTATATGAAATTTTAGTGTAGTTTACGAATGGCTTTTTAGCGGCCACGAATGGCGGAGCAATTTGTCGACCACGTAGGAGGAGGCGTCAGCGGAGTTGGACCAGATGGGAAGGGTTTTAGAGAGAGAGAAGAGAGAGACTTAAGGGTCTGTTAAGTCAACGTTTTGATCCACCAGCCAGGCAATGATGGACTTCTCGACGGCCACGAATGGCAGTGAGCAATTCATCAACCGCGTCGAGGAAGGAGGAGGCGTCGGCGGAGTCGGACCAGTTGGGGAAGGTTTGAGAGAGAGAGAAGAGAGAGACATGAGGGACTATTGGAGAGCTGGGTATTTGGGTCATTTCGCAACAATATAGATGGGTAGTTTGGGAATCAAAAAATAATCTACAGTAAAATTCCATGTCCAAGTCAGTATTTGAGAAAACTCCATTAATTTGAAAAATTAAAATTGCACTCCATCTATTTGTCCTTTGACCTCCAAAACACTATATTTTTTGAATTATCCCTTTATTTAACCCAACAAATCGTCCCTCAAGTTTTCACAAGCTTTATATTTATTATTTATATATTTTAAAATTTTATACAGGCTAATTTTATTTGTTGACTTTATTTTTTTATAATTTTTTTTAAGCCTGATTTTTAGCAGAGAATGGAAGGAAAACTTTTTGGTTGAATTATATGTTTTTTGGGTTCAGTATTAAATCTCCATTATTGATGGACCTATAATAAGCCACACACCATTCCTTATTCATTGAACATTGAAAAAGCTTCATTTACAACCGTAAAACCACCATCAACGACCAAATTGTGGCCACTCACATACTTAGACTCATCACTAGCCAAATACATAACAGCTTTGGCCACATCCTTTGACTTGAGAGACACCCCTTTGAGGTTTGAATATACATCATTGAATTCCTCATCTTTCAGCTCAAAAAAATCCCTTGCCAACGCAATTGGAACAGCATAAGGTGACACACAATTAACACGAATGCCGAATTTTCCTAGCTCCACCGCGGTGTTCTTGGTGAGCCCGAGCAATGCATGCTTGGAACATGTATAATCATGTGAAGCAACCCCTCCAATTACTGAACAAACACTAGCTGTGTTGATTATGGTTCCACGACGAGCTGGTATCATCACACGAGCTGCGTGTTTGGTGCCCAAAAATGCACCTACTACGTTAGCATGAAGAACTTTCTCAAATTCAGTTGTATCGTTGTCAAGAATGTTGGGTTTTTTTATTCCTATGATGCCTGCATTGTTGAACATTATGTCAAGCTTGCCGTGCTTGGAAACAGACTTATCAATGGCATTTTTGACTTCCGTTTCATTTGTGACATCACAGTAAACGAAGGAAGCATGAGTTGGACCTAAGTCCCTGCAAATTGAATGGCCAAGATCATCTTGAATGTCGGCGATCATGACTTTGGCGCCGTGTTGGCAGAATAACTTGGCTGTGTAAGATCCAATGCCAGCAGACCCGCTTGTGATCAGAGCCACCTTACCTTCCAATCTAGTTTTCAAAATTCATGACAAAGCAAGAATTCAACATGGCTGGTCAATGAAACAACTTTGGGCCCTTTTGCTATGCATTCTTAAGAAGTCAAGTCAAAAGTGGTAAAAGAAATTTAGCACCTATAAACTTAAACTATTAAGTTATTAAAGATTGTGCTGGCAATTAAACTTGATTTTAATTAATTATAAATTAATAATATTTTCTAGACAAAGGGATACATGTTTTGGTTAGTCCAAACATCTGTAATACATACATAGTCCAAAAGTCATTTGTTTACTCGTAAGTGTACTAAATGTTGTGCCTGTCCCTACTTTTGGAATAAAAGTATTTTTTAAGTGTTTTTCTTCTTCACTCTTCTCCCGAATAGTACTAATGCTATATTTTGAATCATTGTAGAGAAAAATTAATTAAATTTTTGAACTAAATTTATTTCAATTTCAAATCAAAGTCAATAATTCAGTAGTCCAAAACATAGTAGTATTGTTTGGGAGAAAAAGTGAAGAAGATCTGTTTATTGAGAAAATAAAATAAAGGATAAAAATGAGAGTATCTGATGACCATACCTTCTTGCGGCAGTTGATAGTATTGGAAGAGTCGCCATAGTTGAAAATTTTGTAGAAGTTGTGGAAAAACAAAGCCACACACCAAGCTATAATCTAAGAAAATATCGATCCCCGGCACTCATTAGTCATAACCAAGCTATGATATGATTTAACTAAGGAAATATGAACTAGATTTATAAGCATCGAAACTAACTGTAGTCCCAAATATAAACGTGCTCAATATTTTACACACAAAATTTACCTATAAATTCTAACTACCGCTTTGATTTTCAGTGACATTGCCTCATTTATGTCATTTATCACGTGCATGAAAAATCATGCCTCATTTATAAAACATTCATCAATAAAGAAAGATTTTTACTATAATGCTCAAAAGTTGGTTAAACAGAGGAATCAAAGGGCACTACCTTTTTCTGTAACACCAGAAAGCAGTGGGCTGCTTTCACAAACAAAAATGGCCGCCGAACTACTTTTCTCCGTCAGAGTTTGAAAAAATGGTGAACACCCAACTCATTTATATTCATTTTACTTACCAAATTCGATGTGGGACAAAAATCATGTAAAGTTGTGAGATTTCACCCTTAATTTCCTTTGTTGCAATCAATTTTGCATCATAAATTATAGAACAATGCTAAGTAACACTTCACCACCTAGCTAGGTTTTGGCGGATTTTTCTGTAGAATTTCTAAGTCTTTTCTTTAGGAAGCTAATTTACCAAATAGTTTTCATGAAAAAAAAAAAAAAAAAAAAAAAAAACTAATTTACCTAATGTTCTATCAATAATATATCGAATACATCATTGGTATTTGGTTCAATCCAAGATCCAATTTGATGGATGTGAAATTTTTTCTGTCGGATTCGACTTTATGTTAATTTCCATTGATTGTATGGCTGTCTATTTCATTGAAAGTTTGATTTGACCATTCCTTGAAAAAGAATATAGTCTTTTCAATCGTTAAATTAATGAAAATAATATAATGAAACTTCGTCTTTTATCACTTTTACTCCATTTCATATCGACCCAATTTTTTTTATTTACTTTTTTGGTCCAATTTTCTTTTTCAAATTTCATAATTGGAGAGATGGCAAATCTTCTATTATTGCAATTAATACCCAACAAATCTTCCCTCAAGTTTTCACAAGCTTTATATTTATAATTTATATATTTTAAAATTTTTCTACCGACACTATTCGGCACTTTAGACTTGGTAAATTGCTGTAAACTAGTGATCTATGATAGGGAGAATAGACAATACAATTTGCGCTTCTCACCTTTTGCCAGGTTAATTTTTTTCTTGACTTTATTTTTATTAAAAAAAATTTGGAGCCTGATTTTTAGTAGAGATTGGAAGGAAAACTTTTAAATTAATTTTTTTTTTTTTTTTTTTTTGGATCCACTATTAAATCTCTATTATTGATGGGTGATGGGTCTAATAATAAGTAAATAAAATTTTTAGGGAGGTACTAATATACAAAAATAAAAAGAATTTGGACCTATTCGCCGGCAAGTTTAACTCGCCTTAGGCTCCAGCTAGCCTGTGGGTTGTTATAGTTTTATTCAATGATAAAAATAGCACTACTTTTATTCATTGAACATTGAAAAAGCTTCATTTACAACTATAAAACCTCCATCAATGACCAAATTGTGGCCGCTCACATACTTGGACTCATCACTCGCCAAATTTAAAACAACATGGCTACATCCTCTGGATTAAGAGATACCCCTTTGAGGTTTGAATACATAACACCGAATGGCTCATCATCTTTCATACCAAAATTTTCTACCGACATTATTCGGCACTTCAGACTTGGTAAATTGTTGTAAATTAGTGATCTACGATAGGGAGAATAGACAATACAATTTGCATTTCTCACCTTTTGCCAAGTTAATTTTTTTCTTGACTTTATTTTTATTAAAAAAATTTGGAGCTTGATTTTTAATAGAGACTGGGATGAGGAAAACTCTAAAAGAATTTGAACAGATGGATAAGGTGATGAGGTAATAAATGCCGTTAGCAACATAAATTCAAAAAGTAGTTTTGATCTGATAAATATCAAATTCAAATTATCGACAAAGGTTCTCCTTGAAGATTACAACAAACTCCCAGCTCGGTTGGCTATAAAAGCAAACTCTTATCAACCAATGAGGTATGGGCAATATTGAACTCCATTTCATTAATTACTTAATTTATTTCTTTTGTAAATTGACTTAGCCATTGGAGGTTGTTTGGCAGGCACCACATCGATGTCAAGAGAAAACGTTGTCGTTTTAGATCATTGCAGACTAATCTTCATTAGTTGGCGCCGTCTGTGGGAACCGGGGTAGTACTCTTTAAAAAGGATTATGGTCTTACGATTTGGATTGGAGCACGGTAAGGGAACATCATTGCAGGCCTCTAGTCAGGAGGAAATGCAAGGGGGAACCCCCTCATGTCCTAAATGACCTAGAGCGCGTCGCAGCGTTGGAACACGAAGTTCAAACCCTACGTCAAACCCTTAATCAAGGAATGAATGACCTGATCCAGCAAAATGCGATGATCCTACAACATTTTGTTCCCCTAGGTCCCCCTCTAGGGCAAGGTCATCACGATAACGAAAGCCCACCTCAAGATCATCCCAACCTAAATGCTGAGGAGGGAAATCCTGAGTTGCAAGGCAACGAGCCTTCCCATGAGGAGGCTCTTGCAGAGCATAGCCAAATTGCTGATCAACATAGGGAGGCGGGTCATCCATCTCCCCCACGTAGCTCTAGGCCATTGACCTCGACCTACATTGGTGAAAGGACTGAGGAGGTCACCCACATCGACCTACAGATCCGGAACCTCAAAGCCAAGATGGAAGATGTGATGCAAGCTATGAAGATAAAAGGCTTTGGTACCACCATAGACAACCTTGTTCAAAAAACAAATTTGCCATTTAGCCCGATTATCATGAAATGCCCCTTGCCTAGCAAGTTCAAGATGCCAACATTTGAGAGCTTTGATGGGACTCGTGATCCTCGTCATCACTTGGAGACTTTCCAGGCACTTATGCATCTCCAAGCTATACTAAACCAGATAATATGACGGGCCTTTCCTACTAATCTAAAAGGGTTAGCACGGGTGTGGTTTAATAAATTAAAACTAAGCTCGATCGAGACCTTTGCGGAGTTGAGTAAGGGATTTGTAAGTCATTTCATTGCAGGTCAAAGGCACAAAAGGTCGACCACTTACTTGTTCACCGTGAAGCAATAGAAGAGAGAACCATTATGAGAGTATATCAACCGGTTCAACACCGAAATGCTACAGGTGAATGAAGCCGATGACAAGGTAGCACTCACCGCCTTCATGAAAGGACTGCATACATCTAGATTCCTTTTTCCCTTGTTAAAGGAACCTCTAACCAGTATGGCAGAATTACTAGTTAGAACTAGGAAAAACATGAATGCAGAGGATGCGATGAGTGCGCGAAAGGGGAAAGAAAGAGAAGATAGGAAGGCAGATAAAAAGAGATCACAGCCTGGTGCCAAAGACGAGAAGGAGACCAAATTCAAAAAGTCTTCAATCAATCAAAGTGAGAGGACATCTCGTTGTAGGAGCTCAGATAAGTACACAAACTACACCTCGCTCACTATGTCTATAGATCAGGTTTTAATGCAGATTCAGGATGATCCCTCTCTAAAGTGGCTATCGAAGCTGAAATCCGATCCCTCAAGAAGGCCTCGGGACAAATATTGCAGGTTCCACAGAGATCATGGGCATACCACGGAGGATTATATTGACCTAAAAAATCAGATTAAGAATTTGACTCGAAGGGGTCACCTGCGAAGGTTCATGGTAGGAGATGATAGACGAGGTACTAATCTCGCACAAGGAAGGTGGAACAATCATCTTCCAGAACAACAACCAGTAGGTGAGATCAGAGTCATATCCGTAGGGTATGCAGGAAGAGGTGAAATAGCCGCGACCCGAAAAACATACGCAAGAAGAGCAAGAGCAAAGGTGAATGAGGTAGGAATGTTCAACCTTCCGTCAGAAACACTCAGGTATGGTGACACTACAATTATATTTTCAGAGGCCGATGCCAAAGGGATCCAGCAACCCCACGATAATCCTCTGGTTGTCTCCATGGTCATAGCTAACTATACCATAAGGTGTATACTTATTGACAATGGGAGTTCCACTAATATAATATTTTCTTATGTATTCAACCAAATGATGATGGCCGAGAAAGGTTACAACCCATGAATTCTCCTATCGTGGGGTTTTCAGGAGATAAGGTATATCCGTTGGGAGCAATTACCCTTCTAGTAATTGCAGGAACTAGCCCAAAGCAGGTCACTTTTATGGTTGATTTTATAGTGGTGGATTTTCCGTCAACGTATAATGTTATCCTTGGGAGGACAGACCTAAACTCTATTAGGACCATTACCTAAACTTAGCACCACCTCATGCATTTCCCAACAGAGCATGGGGTGGGTGAGTTGAGGGGTAACCAAACCACAGCTCATGAATGCTATCTCACTTCTCTCAGAGAAAAAATGTCCCAGGAAACTCTGATAATTAAAGGGTTAGAGGTACAAGACCAAGAGGAAGTAAAAAAATAGGAAGTTCGACGAGCCAAACTAATGGAAAACCTACTGGAGGTGAGCTTGGATGATGAGGCTAAGAAGAAAGTGAGCATAGGATCCTTGTTTCAACCTGGCATAAAGGGTGAACTCATTCAATTTCTCAAGCAAAACCAGGATGTGTTCGCTTGGACTCATGAGGACATGCCGGGCATAAGTCTAGCTATAATACAACATCATTTGAATGTTCATCCCAGCTTTAAACCCATTAGACAGAAAAGAAAGACATTCGCCTCTGAATGAAACCAGGCTATATCAGAAAAGGTGGAAAAGCACTTAAAAGCTCACTTTATTTAAGAGGTACATTATCCTGACTGGTTGTAAAATATGGTCATCGAAAAGAAAGCCAATGAGAAGTGGAGATTATGTGTAGACTTTACAGACTTGAACAAGGCCTGCCCAAAAGATAGCTTTCCTCTCCCACGTATTGATATGTTGGTGAAGGGAACTGCGAGACATGAATTGTTGAGCTTCATGGATTCATACTCCGGATACAACCAGATTCCAATGTACCCACCGGACATAGAAAAAAACTCATTTATTACTGATCGGGGTTTGTATTGTTACAGGGTCATGCCATTTGGGCTAAAAGATGCATGAGCAATATACCAAAGGTTAGTCAACATGATGTTCAAGGACCAAATCGGATGGAACATGGAAGTCTACATAGACGGCATGCTAGTGAAAAGTTGGAAGGCTGAAGATCACCTGGCAGACCTGCTGGAAACCTTAAAGTATTTAGGAAGCATAAGATAAAACTCAACCTTAGCAAGTGTGCTTTTGGAATTGCCTTATGAAAATTCCTTGGGTATATGGTAAGTAAAAGAGGAATAGAGGCGAATCCAGAAAAGATCTAAGCAGTTCTGGATATGAGGTCACCCAAATCCACGAAGGATCTCCAACGACTCATGGGGAAGATTGCTGCCCTAAGTAGGCTGATTTCTCGAGCAACTGATAGATGTTTACCTTTCTTCCGTACCCTCAAAAAAGAGTTTGAATGGACACCAGAATGTGAGCAGGCATTTCTACAACTAAATGAATACATTTCCTCACCACCACTTTAGTCAAGAGCAATAATAGGAGATAACTTGTATTTGTACTTGGCAGTCTCCTTATCAGTAGTAAGTTCAGCTCTAATTCGAAAGGAAGATGGGGTTCAGAAGTCGGTGTATTACACAAATCGGGCACTTAGGGGTGCCGAGGAAAGATATCCCAAAATGGAGAAATTAACATTTGCATTAGTCATGTCAGCTAGGAAACTCAGGCCTTATTTCCAAACTCATAAGATAGTGGTATGGTAAGTGTTGAAATATTGCACATTTCAGCCCTAAGTTAGGGTATTTTAGTCTTTTCATCTATCTTATTTTTATGTTTTAGTCCTAATTTGTGTTTTTGTCAATTTCAGGTCAATAAGGTTCAAACGGGTTAAAAACAGTCTATTAAAGCTTTTTTAGAGTCAAGCAAATGCATCGAGAAAATCCAGAAAAAGTCAAAAAAATGCCAAGGTAGAATTCACGATCGATTGTAAATCCTCAACGATCGATCGTAGGCCGTGTCATCGGTCATTGAATTCTCGATCGATCACAGGGAAAGTATGATCGTTCGTAATACCACGTCAGTGCCAGCTCAGCGGATAAGGCAGCCAGTTGTCAAGATAAGACTACCACGTCAGCACGATCGATCGAAGAAATTCACGATCGATCGTAAAGTGCTTGGTAGTGAGCTGTTTGATTCCCGACTTCGCCCGATCTTCACCTACCAAATGGCTATGGGATTGAATCATTTTGGGGCTTGTTTTTAACCCATTTTGGCCTCCAAGGGTCTTGTATAAAAGGCAAAATGAGCCACTTTGTAAAGGGTTAGCTAATATTTCATTTAATAGATAGTTTTTACATAGTTTTCTCTCTCTAGAATTAGGGTTTTGGAAGAAAGAGGCAAGAATATCTCTAGATCTAGGGTTTCTACCAAGAAGACCAAAAGGAAGAAGATGAAGCCATATTTGGGAATTACCCTTGAGGGTTCCATGACCACAACCACCTCCTCCAAGAGTGGCTAAACTCTTCCTTAGGGCTTGAATGAACCCTAGGCTTGTAATCTAAACCCTAGTCTTTATCTTTTTGGGGAATTTATTGTTGTAATGGATGCTTATCCTTGCGTATATAATGTAATTTGGGTTTTCCTATGATTTCTATGGTTAAATTTTTCCTATCAATTCTCTATGTTGCAAGTGTATGTGTAATTAATGGAGGATTATGCTCTACACTAGATCCATGTTATACTTGTGTTTTGTGATGGCTATGCATGGTTTTTATTAAATATACTTGTTGATTAATTTGATGGATTATGCTTATGCTTAATGGATTGTACTACACCTTTAGTTTAATTGTCTTAATTTTATTGTCTTATTTTAATTGTAGTGTACTTGCATTTAAATTCTAGTTAGGTAGACAATTCATGCTTAAATTTGATAATCCATACTTATTGTTGCAAGTTGTATGATTCTCTAGATTAATGTGTGCTACAATTGTTGATTAATTGGATTGTTTATGCTTAAACTTGATAAGTTGCACTACACCCTAGTTTACTTCTTGTTAAGTAGACAATTCATGCTTGAATTTGATATCCATGCTCATTGTTGCAATTAGTAGCACACATTTGGTTTACAACATGAATTTTCCACAATTAGATGAAGGCTTATGATTTAGTGAATGAGCTTAATGGTGATTCTTATGCCCTAAGACTCCTCTCCTATTTTCTAAACTCTACTCTCTGTAGCTCTAATTTGTTTTACATTGCATGTTTTTAGTTAATCATTAGAGTAACAAACCAAACCAAACACTCTTTTTAATCTCTTGACCTACTGAGTCGAGTTTAATTCCAAGTACCTTCAAATCCCTGTGGACGATCCCTTTCTCAATATACTTCATTTTATTAGTGTTAAGTGGTTTTATAAATATTAATCCTTGATGCACACTTAATACATTTTCTAGCACATTCTAAAGTGCACACTTTTGTGGCACCACATTAAGGAGCATCATGGTACTAACAGACCAACCCCTAAGGCATGTTCTCCATAAGCCAGAGACTTCAGGTCGACTTATGAAGTGGTCAATAGAACTTGGGGAGTTTGACATCCAGTATAGACCCCGGACTACAATAAAAGCCCAGGTGGTAGCAGATTTTGTTGCTGAGTTTACACCTTCCCAAGAAGACCAGATCAACATTTCCACAGAAGCAAACCCTCAGATTTAAACAAACAAAAAAGCTACTTGAACTCTGTTTGTTGATGGGTCATCAAATGCACATGCTAGTGGAGTAGGGTTGATCATCATCTCCCCAGAAAGAGAAAACATTGCCTATGCCCTTCGGTTTGACTTCAAAGCAACAAACAATGAAGCAGAATATGAGGCCCTTATAGTTGGGTTAAAACTGGTAAAAGTCCTTGGGGTGGAGCAACTCATAGCATACACAGATTCTCAATTGATAGTAAGGTAAGTCCAAGTTGAATACAAAGCCAAAGATGAGAAAATGAATGCCTACCAAAAAAAGGTAGAAGAATTGAAAAATCATTTTACGAGATTTTCAGTCCATCAGATCCCCCAAGAAGAAAATGCAAATGCAGATGCTCTAGCTAGATTGGCTACCGTGTTAGATCCGAAGGTGAATAGGGCAGTACCATTAGAGTACCTGGATAAGCCGAGTATACTTCAAGAAGTTCAAAAGGAGGTACAATAGATGGTGCTCAACATGGGATGGACAGAACCTATCATAAAATACATTAAAGAGGGAGAACTTCCTAAGGACAGAAATGAGGCCTGAAAAGTTAAAATTTGAGCAGCAAGGTACACTCTCATCAAAGGGGTGTTGTATAAGAGGGGTTTTTTTTTTACCCTACTTGCGTTGCGTCTCAACTGAGAAGGCGAGGTACATTCTAAAGGAGAAACACGAAGGAGATTGTGGTAATCATGTTAGGGGCAGGTCTTTAACATACAAAGCTATCTGATAAGGGTATTATTGGCCCACTATACAAAAGGATGCTACGGATTATGTGAAAAAATGTGATAAAAGTCAACGGTTTACCAATATTCCAAAACAACCACCTGAAGAGATGACTCTCATGACAGGTCTATGGCCTTTCGCATAATAGGGAATGGACATTATAGGTCCATTGCCCATGGGAAAGGGCCAAGTCCAGTATGCTATAGTGGTTATAGACTACTTCACCAAGTGGATAGAAGCTGGGCCACTAGCAAGTATTGCTGAGACGAGCATAAGAAAATTTGCTTGGAGGTCAATCATTAACAGGTTTGGAATGCCAAGAGTGCTTGTCACAGATAATGGAAAGCAATTTGATTGCACAAAGTTTAAGGATTTTTGTGCTCGACTGGGGATAAAAAACCGCTACTCATCACCTGGACACCCTCAAGCAAATGGTCAGGCTGAGGTGGCGAATAAATCGATACTTCAAATTATAAAGAAGAAGCTTAAGGATAAAAAGGGAACATGGCCTAAAGAATTTCCTAGCGTGTTGTGGGCTTATCGTACAACAGCGGAAACCCCATTCCTATTGGTGTGAAGCAGTTGTTTCTGCTGAAATCGATGTAACCAGTTTCAGGACTGAGCATTACGAGCCACGAACAAATAAGAGAGAATTGTTATTGAGCTTAGACCTAATTGAAGAAAGAAGGGAACAAACTCATATTCGAATGACATCTTATCAACAAATGGTGTCTAGATACAATAATACTAAGGTCAAGCCAAGAAGATTTCAACCTGGGGACTTAGTACTTCGCAAAGTCACCCCAACAACTATATGACGGCCCTGGTTTTTCAAGCCAGTGCGTCCTGTGATGACCCGTAAGATGACCCGAAACAGATCCAAAATGCGGAAGCAAAAATAGAAATAAGGTATCTAGAGATATAAGACATCCCTAAGATGCCAAGGTGACCTTCCATGAAGTCACAGAACTCAAAAGAATCAAATGCGGAAGCTAAGATTATAAAATGGGAAGGGTACTGGATCAAGGGTAAAATGGTATTTTCAAATAAAAAGGGATGTAACTGAACATACCATTAGATAGACAAGGAAAAATTAATAAATTTAGACTCAAGAATCACTTGATTCGGAATCCGAATGAAGAAGATATGAAACTCCAAAGTTTCATAAAATTAAATTTTTCGGTTTCAAATCAGTGCGGCAATGGTACTTGATAAGGGGTAAAATGGTCTTTTTAGATTGAACTGAATGCAACCGTGCATACCATTAGATAGACAAGGAAAAATTAATAAATTTGGAATAAAAAATCACCTGATTCGGAGTCCGAACGAAGAAGATATGAAGCCTCAAAGTTTCATTAAAAAAAAAAAACCAAAATGGTGCTCAAGTGTTGCTGCCAGAAAATCTGCAAATGCAAAAAAAAAAATTTGCTATCCAGAACAGAGAGCTGAAACGAGCTAGAAGATGACATTTTCTGGAAAAATACGAAGAAGAAACCCCCCTTAAAATCGAGTTTTCTACCCGGCTGCATGGAAGAAAATGAAAAAAAACTCACTGTGAAATACCCAGAATGCCCCAAAAAAAAATCAGGTCAAGAGAGTGCCTAAAAGCTGCTACAGGGACTGTTCTGAAATCTGCTAGAACTAAGAGCAAAAACAGGGCCCTTAATGACATTTTCTGGAAAAATACGAAGAAGAAACCCCCCTCCCCTCCCCACCCACCCCAAAATCGAGTTTTGTACCCGGCTACGTGGAAGAAAATGAAAAAAACATACTGTGAAATATCCAGAATGCCCCTAGATCAGAAAAGGGCAAAAACTAAAAAAAAATGCAACTTTGCACCAAGTATGCATTTGACCTTAAATGCATTTTTAGGCTAAAACAAATATGCACGCAAGCGTAATAAATAATTTCAAATGCACGGGAATGGTCTGCGGCTCCCGAGAAGACCCGATGCAAAATCCAACCCCCCGACGGCCAAAAAAGGCGAAAATGCACATGAAAAGGGGAATTTGAAACTTAAAATTATAAAATGGTTTCAAATTACCGTTTGGCTCTTCATCACACTTCATGTATGATTAATGAGACCCTATAGAAGAATAAAAATGGAATTCCCACACTCGATGCGAACATGGTGAGACAATTATTTGTCATTTTTTAATTTTTTTAAATAAAATACCATGAAAGTAAAAGTGCATAGATTACAAATTAGATGTCATTGGCCTATGACCTCATCTCATACACGTCAAATACATCATAAAGGGTGTACTTATGCACACATTACATATTTAGAATCAAATATACACATTTTGACACATAAGGCTACAAGTGGCATTTTCAAGCCAACATTTACAAGAATTTGAAACCTTCAAGTCTACAAATCATCCAAACATAATGAGAATCTCGAACCTTGATTCCTGTACCTAAAAAATGTCCCCACTGCATGGATGAGTAACATAAAGCTACTCGTAGGAGATGAGCATGCAAAGACCTAGCGTTTTACAAACTTAATAAGTTGATACAAATCCATTCATATGGTCATGCCACCTACCGTCGATGTCAAATGTGAGACTCAGGGAGCATCCTAAGCTACCTAGAGTATTCCTAACATAAACCACATCATTTATGCAATTTGAACAACATAGGAGCATACGATATACGCAACAAGACATTCAATATACAAGTATACAATCAAAATTGAAATGCACTTAAGACAAGTATATAAGATAGAAGTATGCTAGGTTATCAGAAAGTAAAACATCAATATACAAGTGTATATACTAAGTACGCTAAGGAATATTGAAATGAAAGAATGACATATATATTCAGGTATACATTTCTAAGTATACTAAGCAATGTTGACATAGATGGCATACAAGTATACAAATCCAAGTATACAATGCAAGAAATGAAGTATCATGCATCCTAGCACAAGTTAAAAGCAATCCAAGATTACAACTAGGAATTGAATGTGAAATCAACAATTGTCGAAAAGACCAAGGACATAAGGTCTCAATGACCAAGCAAGTGGTTCCGGGTTACTAGCCTGCAAGGTACAACCTAGTGTGCAACTAAACCCGGAATAAAACCGTTATATTGATGATTTTGGGTTACTAGCCCTTAGGGTACCACCCGGTGCGCACTATACATCATGTTTGCAAATGTTTGGAAACTACCAATCATCTAGCTGCATCTAATAAGTTGGATCATCAATTTTACATGCTTTTGGTCATTTTAATGAGTTGGTCATTAAATCTTATAACACATAATTACTATTATAAAAGACATTACAAGTGAAGAAACTATACATTTAGAGAACTATTAGGGCTAGTTTGGTGTGGTTGAATGAAATAAAGTAAGAATGGAATGACCATTCTCATTCTCATGTTTGGTTGCATAGAGAAACCTCTCTTTCGCCTTCTTTTTCTCTCTAAAAATGCCTGTCAAATCTCACCCACCATCGAACCTCCACCCCACAACCATAGCCAAACATCCTATTTTTGTAAAACCTATATTCATATATATATATATATATATATATATATATATATATGTAGCCAGTCATCACCACCACAACCACAACTATCGTCGAAAAAGCTCCGCCGGACAGAAGAGAAGAAAAAATAGAGGAGCAACCACTTCCGTTGTGGACTCGCGGTCCACGAAGCCACACAAATCAATCCAAATTCCTTCACAAAATTGCACAAATCCTAGGGTTCGAAATCAATGTATCATCTGGTGAAGAGGAGGGTCTAGTGGGTTGAGAGCTTCTCTTCTAAATCAATCATAAATCAACCTGAAATTAACGTGTACAAAGGAATCCTGGTCAATCCGAAATCCAGAATCCTAAATCGTTTAGTGGGTTGAGAGCTCCCTCTCTCCTAAATCAATCTAAAATCAACGTGTACGAAGGAAGCCTAACCTTTAACATCGGTGATGGCACCGTAATCTTGCCAGTCAAAATCGGCAGTGAGTTTGCTGGTTGGAAGGATCGGTAACTTGCGAGCGTATGTGGGAAGCCTGAAATGCTTTAATTTGAGATGGCGAAACTTCGCCACTGTGAGACCAAAAACTAGTCATGGTTCTCCGATGAAGAGAGAGGAGAACATAGCCACCGTTTTGACGTTTCATCAAATGTTTTTTTTTAATTCAATTTATTTATTTATTTTTAAGTGGGAATGGAATGGACATTCCTTTAGTTTGACAGTGGAATGAATTAGTAAGAATCACCATTCTCGGAGAATGGGCAAATCATCATTCTAACTTTAAAATTAGTTACCAAACTAAAGAATGGAAACAAAAGCATTCAATTCCCGCTTCATTTGATTCCATTCACTCACACCAAACATGGCCTTAGGGAATGTTGTTTCAACTGTTCATGTCTAGTTATTTAGGCTAGTGGAGAACACAAACCTTGTGATCCAAGGACTCCTCGTGCTGAAAAATCTCTTATAAATCTCTCAAAAGATTCGAATTCAGAATCAATCTGTTCAACTGAATGATTGGTTCTAAACTCCTTCGGAAAGCACTCATCTGCTAGGGAATGTTGTTTCAACTGTTCATGTCTAGTTATTTAGGTAACTGGAGAACACAAACCTTGTGATCGAAGGACTCCTCGTGCTGAAGAATCTCTTATAAATCTCTAAAAAGATTCGGATTCAGAATCAGTCTGTTCAACTGAATGATTGTTTCTAAACTCCTTCGGAAAGCACTCATCTGCCTTGGCCCCTTTGGGCATCGATGATTGTTGCCATGGAGTGTTATTGAAAGGAAGCTTTTCTGGTATAAATAGAATATCTTCAGGCACTGATACTCATATCACTGGACTGCTCTTTAAAGGGAGCTCACTTTTTCCTTTTTAGGCGGCAAACCACCATTGAATCCTACAGACAGAAGGGCATATTTTATTTGATGCTTCATACGCTTACTCAAAGATGAACACTGCATGTTTCAAGAAATAGAAAACTACTACGAAGAAATTAATTCGAGTAGACTATATTAACAGGCATAGTCCACAAAGAAACAAGTCCAAGGAGAGCCTATTCATCTCTCTATTAATTAGGCACTTTATAACCTCATATACTGGAGTAAAAGATGAACATTTCATGTTTTAAGAAATAGAAAACAACTACGAAGAAATTAATTCGAGCAGACTATATTAACAGGCATAGTCCACAAAGAAACTAGTCCAAGGATAGCAGACTATATTAACAGGCATAGTTAATTTGCACTACAGTAGATTTCCAATGTCCAGTGTTTGTTTGCCTTTTGAGTTTGGGAGCCTCTTTGGTACGACGAAGTCTCCTCTCTTCCATTGAGTCTTCCTCCCAAAATGAGAAAAAGGAGTACCACTCTGTATCAGATTGAAGTTTGGATTTGGCCGGTGACAAATGAAAGAGCAATAATCAATCTCTGTACTCAACAAAACCCAATAGCATTCACAAGAGTATCACACAAGAATAACACCAACTCGACAATCAAATAAGTTTCATTCACAAAACAAGTGTCAAGAAATCCCCTTATGACATATCAAAATTTTACTTCATAGAGCTGTTTTATTCAGCTGAAAAAATGGAAATG